GTGTCCAGGCAAAAACTTCTATGTTTGCTCGCAAGAAAGCCCCCAACTCCCTTTCTTCCTCCTCGGCTAAACCTGAGCCAAGAAGGAAGAAGCGTTCTTCATCATCTTCTTGGACTGAAATCGTCTTCAAAACTTCCTCACTCTTGTCGGCTGGTTCTTTGCTGACATTATCTAGGACCTTCATGTCCTCGTCTTCAATTTCTACTATCTCTACTTCTCGCACGTTGCAGGTCGACTTCATTGCTACCATGGAGCAATTTTTTTGCCTGCACCTGATCTCCTTTGACCTCTTAAATCCCATGTTCAATTAGGAATTGCAATAGTTGGTGCAATGTTAAGGAAACAGCCCTCATTGTATGCAACCACGGTCTATCCAAGATAACATTGTAAGGGGAAGGGGTGTCAATTACTATAAACTTCGTGCTTATCTTCTTGGTGCCTGCCTGCACCTCCAAATTCGTGGCACCTAGAGACCACATCGGCGTTCCGTTGAACTCAACCATGGCTGTGGAATTTTTCCAGATCATTTGGGTGAAGGCCAAGCTCCTTGTAAACATCTAACATACATGATGTCACAAGAACTACCTTGATCAACCAATATACGCCTCACCTGGTACTCTCTAATCTTCAGCGTTATCACCAGGGCATCGTTGTGTCAATACTGCACCATATCCAAGTCTACCTTAGTAATAAAAACCATTAGCCCCTAGTACTCATTTGTCCTAGGCTTCTTTTGCTGGACCTGATACACATGTTGTAGATGCCTTACCCTCTGAGTCTACCCACGTACATCATTCTCATTGACCTTCGAATGAATCACAATGATCACCGAGGTCCATCTACTTGTTGTGGTGGCGATGGTGGAGGTGGTACTGCCGGTGCCTGGGGTAGCCTTGTTTGCTCTTCCCTTGTTCTGGCCTCATCTACTAGGTCTCTCAGGTGATCCTATCTGACCAGATCCTTCAAGTGTGTCTTTAGAGCCCTACATCCTTGAGTCAAATGTCCATCTTCCTTATGGTAAGCACAATTCTTCCCAAGACTCATTCTCATAAACTCGCCTGGGATCTTCTTCGGTACTCTGTACTACGGTTGGTACCTGATCATTTCCAAGACTTTGTAGACTGGGATCCTGAATACAATGGTGACTACCTGTGCAGCCCTCAACCCTGTTTCCTACCTGTTAAAACCAGTGTTATCTCAGCCTCACTTCGGCAAGGCATTTCTCTTCTCCTGTTTTGGTGCCTTTGTCCCTGGCGTGTCCTCTTCTGCTCTGACATACTTCTCGATCTGTGCCATTAGCTTCTCCATACTTTTTGGTAGAGTTTTTGCCAGTGATTTCCGAAGAGGGCATTCATCCTCCAAGCCGTTCTTAAAGGACACGACCACCAACTCTTGGTTGCAAGCAGGAATTTGGTTAAACACCTCGTAATTCCTCTTGGTGTATGCCCTAAGGCTTTCACCCTCACTAATGTTCAAAACCAGCAGCGAGTCTACTCTTAGTGGCTGTAGCTTGTTTGTAACAAGCTGGCCACATACATCTCGGCTAGGCCTTCCTAACTCTTTACAGTTCCTTTCGGCAACTTGTGGAATCAATCCGATGCGATTTTCCCAAAGGATGAGGGGAACACCTTGCATAGCAACTACTCATTCCCACTATACAGAGCCATCGAATTCAAATATAGACCGACATGAAAGTTTGGAACAAAGTTACCGTCATAAATCTGGAACCTCGGCATATGGAACCTTTTTGGGGCCTCAAACCTATCCAACTCCACTGAAAACGGCATCATCGGCTTGACTGAGGATGTGACCTCGGCGTTGAGTCACTTCTTCTGGAGGTAGTCTCTCAGATCCTCCTTTGTTCAACCAAGAGCTCGACTATCAACAGATTTCAGCCTTTTTGGATCGCTACTCCCGACGTCGTTGTGTATCCTCTTGGACTTCTCTTCATTCACTGCGTCAAGACATAGGCCCTTCCCCTAGATATGGAGAGGTTCTCTGACATAAGTTCCCTTGGTCCGAGGCGTCTTTTGCGACTCACCTCTCAGTGACTCTGCTCGTCCGACATCCTGTGAAGGTCGATGTGAGTGCTTCTTTTCCTTGTCATGCTGCAGGACTACTAGGATTGTTTTCTACCCCCTTTTTTGGGCATTAGTCTTTGCCGCTAGTACCGGCGTGTCTTACAACGGGAACAATGGTTGCATCACGTTGTTCTGCATCATGAAGTTGACAATCGACTGTAGGTCTGCCAACTTGTTGGCCATCCCTTTCATCTCACCATCTCTCCTCAGGCATCTATCCTTCCATACCTGAAGGTCATTTTCGTTGTAGTACTCGTCTCGGCCGGTTTTCTTCAGGGCATTCCCTTCTTTGCCGACGTCCTTCTCCCCAAGATTTGGATCCTGTGCTTTTTCATTACGGTTTTCTTTCCCAACATTAGGATCTCTATGTTCATAACTCTCACTGTTAAAGTCATTCCCAATCTTTTTTTCCTGTCTGTAGTTGGTCATCTAATCTCCTTAAGTTCCCACAGACGGCGCCAAATTGTGGGTGTTGTTTTTTGACCACACAACCAAACAGGGAACTCTACTGGAGAGCATCAATAGAATAGATTAAGCCCAACAACCTGCACAAGAAGATAAGAATCTGGCAGTGGTTCGTCTTCCCTGGGACACTCCAACGATGAAGTCAGTAATCAATATCTCTCACAAATAGAAAATAGTACTTAAACTCACAAGAAAGAACTTTCCTCAGACCCATGAAGGTGCTTTGTTTTTATAACTTGCAGTGACCTTATCCCTTTAAAAGCCTCACTTCAGTGGACTGAGACTCAATGCTCATCCTAAAACCTCAACTAGATAGGGATAAACTCTTCTTGAGTTTTATCTTTATCCAGACTAAGATCCTCCCTTATTCTAGGACTTTTATGCCTTCTCGAATTCCGGTATCTCCGTAGATAATCTTGGCTTAGCCAAGATCATTTCGGCAAATATGACCAGCCCACGTGGTACCTCGGTTGACAATTCGGCGTCACTTTAGCCACGTGCTATCACTCAAAAAATATGTCCCACACCAATCAATGGTTAAATTTATTTTACTTTTATCTAATGGTCCAAATTTATTTATGTATGGTACATGAAAACCACCTTCATGTATCATAGAAAAATCCAACTCGCCAGTGTTTCTACTGATGATTTTGTCTCATGATAAAATGTGAATTCAACTATATATTTGTTGTAATACTGACAAACAAAAGGAAATTATGAAAGAAGAAAAATAACCATAGATTGTTGTAGAATGTGATTAACATTTTGAATAATGAAATAACACATTACCACCGCATCGAATTAAACAAGTCAAATTTGTTAGTGGCACTTGTGACACCATTTTTAGTTTCTAAAGAGGTTGAATATCTTTCATATTGTCAAAGCCTGATATATACAAAATAAATCATAAAAAGATTATAATATACTCATGTCAGAATAAATGGACAAATAAAAACACCCACCTCTTAGTGAAATATGTAGCTAATGCATGTGCTTCTTTTATTTATTTATGGGTAAATTACACTGGCATCCGTGAGGTTTATATTTATTCTAATTCTCTTTTTATATTTAGAAAATTACACTGATCTCTTTATGAGTATAATTATTTGGCGGTATTAACTTTTAAGTTAAAATAACATATTTACCCTTAACCTTTACATATATTTTAAAAGGTAAATTATATTGACACCCCCTGAGGTTTCAATTTAATACGGATGTCCCCTGACATTTAAAAAAAAAACTAATTTAATAAAAATAAATATGAAGAAATATATTTAATTTATAAAAAATTATTTCTAACCACTCGAAAGATAAAAATTATATAAATATAATAATTATTTTTATTTTTTATTTCTTAACCAAATTAATTTTTAATTTAAAAAAAAAAATTCTAAAAATCAAATCATACGTAGCTTAAGAATCTTTTGATAAGTCATTTCTTACATTAGTAACTTATTTAATTATTTGTTAATTTTATGACATTTTTACTATATAATACCTGTTTGGCAACCATTTCGTTTTCAGTTTTCAATTTATATTTACAAAAGTTTAAAAAACTGTCATAAAAACTTGTTTGATAATTTTTTAGCTTATAAATTGTTATCTCAATTTGTAAATTTGAAAAAAAAAACATAAATTCAAAAAATGAATTTACGTTAATTTTTAATCAGAAATTTAAAATTTTGACTAGCAAAAAAAAATTTCAATTAATTTTTTTTTTCTAATTAATTTTTTTTTTCAATAAATTTTTTTTCAACTAATACTAACGGAGGGGACATTGGTAATGCTACTTTAAATATTGGGGAGGGAATTGTAATTTCTAAAATGTGAAGGGTGTCAATGTAATTTACCCAATAAGGGCAAAATTAATATTTAAAAAAATTAAATTATTGATATCGGCAAAATCTATTAATTGACTTAACAGTCAACTAACTGAGGGAGCAATTTGTAATGAAACTTTAAATCTCAAGGAGAAGGATGTAATTTCCAAAAAATGAAGGAAGGAACTGTAATAAATATAAATCACAAGGGTGTCAATGTAATTCATCCTTTATTTATTTATTTATTTTTAATGCTCATATGCCCACATTTAGGTAATCCATTAGACAGATTTCACATAATCACACAGCCCACAGTTCGACAACATTCAATATAACATCTATCCACATTAGCTTAGCAACAAACACAACTTTATCAAGGTTACAGATTGAAAATCTACTCAAATGTTCCTGACTTCATCTGCTTTCTGAAGCCATGTAGTTCATCGATCAATTTAATTCTTCAACAGTCCCTACGCTACCTTCCTGACCACAACAGATCCCCACAAGAATTCTAATATAATACTACAAACACATAATATGAAAGCACTCTTATTGTCCGAAACAAATAGTTCTAAGAATTATGCAAACAATACACCACTGACCATCAAAGTAAGCAGATATAAAACCTCAGCGATTTATCTAGTGCCAATTAAATGGGATTCATTGCATTTCCTGGAGCTCTCAAACCCCAATACAAAAGAGTGATCAAAACATCATAACATAATGATTCAAATATAGTTTTGAATCAAAGGAAAAAAGGGCAAAAGGGAAATAGTGCGCTGTATTGTTCCTTAGGACTGAAAAGAAGTAAAAGCATATAAGAAAATGATCTCTAGTTGAGAATAATCTGCATTGGCATTTCTTTTTGGCCTGCTAGTTACTACTCTTGGAATTGCTAGCTTTTGCACCTATCAGAATGGACTTAAATCAGAAAAAAAAAAATGCATTCAGCGAATACGAGCAACATATGCAACAGAAGCTGCAGCAAATATTGTTGTTGCAGATGACACCAAAGTCCAAAAGTTCTTCCCCTTTCTCGCCTCTGCTACCGAATTCTGCAGAATCACAAGCTGCTGCTTCATGCCTTCAACCTTAGCGTCCCTGTTCTTGAAAGCATTCTGGATTGCTTCCAACTCGGCCACATACGGTTTAACCTCTTCTCCAACCTGTTCTTCATCAATAATCCCATTATATTCTGTAAGGCCAATTCCATCTTTCGACAGACAAACAATCCCTCCAGTGTTCCTTAACATTTTCAAGACATGCTCCGACTTAGCGTTAGCAGCTTCCACTTTAGCCTTCATATCATCAAATTCTTTCCTAACCTTCAAAAGTGAATTCTCCAATGTCGCTATTTCCTTCATCAACATATCACATCGGCTTTCCAACTCATTCTTTTCTTCAATCACATTACAATTTTCAGCTTTCATCTGACCAACAACCTTCTGGGTTTCTTTAATCTTCTTCTCCATTTCCAAAACTCTCTCCCTCAAGCTTATACTAATCTTTTTCTCATCTTCAAAGCCCTTTCTATCCTCATTCCTCTCAATAGTGATTTGAGTAATTTCATCTCTATATCGATTAACTACAGATTGCAATTGCTCATTCTTCTCTGTTTGATTCCTACATGAAGCTTCCAATGCTGATATATCATCCATAAGTTCACCCATCTCTCTCTGCATTTCAACAATTTCATTCTCGGCTCTGACTTTCGCCTCCTCGATCTCAATTTTCTTTCGAACTATTTCATCCATTTTTCGCTTCTGGTCATCTAGTCCCTTCAAAGACTGGTTCAAATCTTCCTTGATCAAACCCTTTTCCTCAATCAAACTCTCAAAGCTCCTTTCCTTCTCCTTCATTTCTTTCACTAAAACATCAATCTTCTCCACCATCTGCTTTTCCATCTCCACACTTTCCACATACCTCTTCTCCAAATCGGCTACGTTAGCCCGCAACCTCTGTTCTTCCTTTTGCAAACTCACTACCTTCTCATTGAGTGCACCCACTGCAGTTTCGAACTCCTTTTTCTTCATCATTTCCAAACTCCTCTCCTCCTCAATCCCTTTCTTCTCGCTAACTATTTCCTCAATTTCAGTCTTCAATTCCTCAATTACCCGATTCGACTCGGCCAAATTCCTCTCAATTGAATCCTTGTCCCTCAAAACCGATTCAATCCTTCTTTCTCTCTCATTTTTTTCCTCCATCACCGCATTGTATTTCATCTTCATTTTCTCAACCTCTTCTTGAATCTTTCTCTCTCTTTTCTCTGCCTCATTGAGTTCAAGTCTCAACCCATTTGTCTCCTCAATCTGAGCATCAAGTCTACCATTCAAAACATCCCTCTCTCGACACAGACGACTCGACCCATCTCTCTCATTTTCAATCTCCACAACAAGGTCCCTCAACTTCTTCTTCAAAACCCCAATCTCAGATTCCCTCTCTCTCCTCACCTTCTCAATCTCACTCTTCTCTCTCACAACCTCCTTCATTTCTCTCTCTAGTCCCAACAACCTCCCTTCAATCTCCACCTTCTCTCTCCAAAACCCATCTCTCTCCTTCTCAACCACCTCCGCCTGCTCACTCACCTGCACACCAACGAACCCATAAACCAAATCCCTCTCCAACTCAAGCTGAGCAGCTAGGTCGTGCAACAGAACCAACTCAGATTGCAAGCCCTGTTTCTCCATATCAGACCGATTCAACTCGGACTCCAGAAACCCTTTTGAATGGAGAAGCGATTCGACCTGTTGGCGGCGCTCAACGGCCTCTTTGAGAAGTATAGAGTTGAGGGATTTCAAGTTATCGAGCTTCTCGGAAGCGTCGTCCATGGCGGCTTGGTGGGTGTGATGCGGGTTTTGGGGAGGTTTATCGTCTTGGCGGTTGTGGTGGGTAGTCTTCTTTTTGGCCATGGCTGGTTGGGTTTGTTTGTGTTTGGGATTATTTTTGTGAAGTTTGGGGTGATGGGATACGAGAGGTGATGGGAGAGAGGGTGGATTGTTTTGTTGGTAGGGTTTTTATGGGGTGGAGAATATATCGCATTAGATGAGGATGAGATGAGGCTGTCGTTATATCAAGAGTCACTGGGGATACTGATGAGACTGATGAAGAGGGGTTTAGGGTTTTTCCCAAAAAAACAGAAGTTAATGGTGTATTAAAAGTTGTGTTTGTAGTAGTAAATGTTTTGAGGGGGCATTTAAGGAATTGAAGATGGATTTACCACTAATAATTGATTTATGCTAAAATTTCAAATGAATTACATTGTTGGACATAACAAATAGTGATTTGTGCTTAAAGAAAAATTTTGAAAAATATTTTTTTTATAAGAGTTTATAAAATTTGAAAATTTATTTGGTTATATATTTTAAAAATAGTTTTGGACTTTTGCATGATTTAATTTTTTTTTTTTTAGTTGAATAAATGAGTGTAAAAGAAAAAGTGATTAATTGATATGTAGGATGTGTGACAAAAAAAAGGGAGAAAAAAAATGATTAATTGATGTATAAGATATGTGACAAAGAAAACGAAGAGAGAAAAAATTATTGATTGACATGTCATACAGTGAAAAGTGATTTTAAAAAAAAAATTTGCAAATAAATTTTGGACATTTTTTTCTCAAAAACTATCTCTAGATACAAACTAATAAGGCCTTAACATCTTAAAATTTATTTAGAAATGGATATATTTAGTAAAAATTGAATTAATAAAATGTGAAATTTATATATAAAATGAATTTGAGCTACTAATTTAAAATTTTGAATTATTTTTGAATTTTATGTCTGAGTATGAGTTTATAATGTTATTAATCATTTAAGCTTATTTTAACAATTGAATTAAAAGTCAATTTGTTTGACATTTTTGGATCACGTTTTTTTTATAAAAAAAGATAGAAAAGCTAAAAAAATGGAAAAATTAAGTTTGACATCTCCTCGAAAAGTCAAAAAATTATTCAAAAAGTTAAAAAGTTATCACTATTTACTAAAAAAAATATTAAAAAAATAATTTTCCACACATCCATATAACTCAGCAATCATGAAAAATCTGGCGTTGTGCAGCGTTTGTTAAATACTATTGCACTGTTTGGGTGTAATTTTCACACACTATTGTTCAGCCTGTGGGGCCCATCACGAGTCCCGTTTTGATAATCTGAACCGTTCAATGTGTAGAACTCGTCGAGTACTTTATATCTATAAAAATCACATTGATTGGATATCGATAACTACATGATCAAATCAGTTTTGTATAAAAAAATGAATGGTATTATAATTAACGATTAAAAAAAGAACAAATATGATCAGATAGCTATCGATATCCAGTCAACGTGATTTTTTATAGGCATGTAATATTCGACGAGTTTTACACATTAAACTGTTCAGATTATAAAAATGGGACCCGTGATGACCCCACGGGCCAAACAAAACCATCTAATGCAATGCCCGAAAAGTAACTAATAATTTCTTACTATCATTTCGGCTGTGCAGATTGTACGGCTGTGGCCCACACATCTTTAATTTTCTCCTACACACTTCTTTATACAATTTTTTAATACACATTTTTTCATAAAAAATCAAAAAATTAATCCAAATATTCATATTTTTTTCTCAACATTTTATTCAAAAAAATAAAAAAATACATTTATTTAAAACATTCAAAACAATCTCAACCTTAAATGTATGGGTGTATTGATGAAATTGATATTGAGTGGGTGAGAAGAAGATAGAGAGCGAGGGGAGGGGAGGGGAGGGGAGAGTGGATGTGTTGTGTGTGGTAGGCGTAGGAGGGATAGGGTGAGGGACCGTTTTTCGAATTCAAATTTTTAGGTGGTAAGCGGGACACGAATTTCGAGGAGTTTTTATGTATATGATGGGGATGGGGGGAAGATCTCGAGAATTGACAAAATACGATATGCTAGTAATATGTTAGCTGAAAAGACGGGAGGTCGTTGGGCCACGTGGTACTTTATTTTTTCGTTAACAACAAAAGAAATTTTTTTTTTTTTTTTTTTTTTGGATAAGTTTGAAATTTTTTAAAAAGATAAATTATAATGAGATTTAATTATAATGTAGTTTTAAAAATTATATTTTATTTTTTAAAATTTTTAATTTCATAATAAATTATTTTTTTCATTAATAAATTATCAAATCAATTAATTGTTTCTAATGATATTAGAAATATGTTTTAATTAGTAATTTAGATAATTTATAGAACAATTAGGAATTTCATTTCTTTACTTAATTTTGTTAAATAAAAAATTCTAATAAGGAGATATTTGTAAATTTTCAATCACAGAGATAATCTGTACTTTAAACAAATTTCAAAAAATGTATTTGTAATTTACCTTTTCAAAAAATAGTTACAAAGTTAAAAATTACTTAAAAAATCATCAAGTTAAAAAATTATGACTTATTTTGAGAAATATATTAAACGTTAACATCTTAATTTTTTTTGACTTTTTGAAAGAAAAAAAAACATGTAAAAATATAAAGAAGTAATGTAACTTGAAAAAAATAAAAAAAGCAAAAGAATTAACTTTTAGCCGAATTTTCAAAATAGGCCTATATCATAGAATTAAAGGTAGCATTTGGTTAATCTTTCTGATCAAAAAATTTCACAACTATAACCAAACACTCAATTTAAAATTCTTTTTAAAATTTTATTTTTAAAACAAAAAAAATTCAAAAAAAAATATTTTTTTATTTTATTCTTTAAAATTATTTCTATCTATTATGTTTTTGAAAAAATATTTTTTAACAAAATATTTTTATTTTTATTTTTGAAGAAAAATATTTTTTATTTTCTTACTTTTTAAAAATATATATATATATTTCTACGAAAATAAAAATAAATTGGTGAAAAAAATTAAAAACACATTATTTTTATATAATTTTATCTTTTAGGAGGGTAGAAATAATTTTTTATATTTATTTTTATTAAATTAAATTTTATTTTTTCAAAAGTCAAACATGACAACAATTTTAATGTCATTTTTAAACCAATTAAGCACTCATTTGGCATAATGGTTTGGGGCTAAAAAAACCACAAAAAATATAAAATAGGTTAAAAAAGTCAATATGACAAAATGCTACATCAAACTATAATTATTTCATTTTTTTCTCACAAAAGTCAAAAAAATAAAAATAAAAAAACTATCTCAAACGAGGCTTTTCAGTCCCAGGCTAAAATAGCCAAAATGTTACATCAAACTATAATTATTTCATTTTTCTCTCACAAAAGTCAAAAAAATCAAAAAAAATTATCTCGAACGAGGCTTTTCAATCCCAGGCTAAAATAACCAAAAAGTCAACCAACATTCCAAATGAACCCTAAATAAAAAAATTCAAAATTCAAAATATTTCATATATTAAATATATCCATTACACATTAAAAGGCTAATAAATATTTAGGCTAAGTTTGGGTACTCCCAAAAAAGCCAAAAAGTCAAAAAGTTACTCAAAAAGTTAAAAAGTTAACACTATTCACCAAAAGTCAACAATTACGGCTGCACAACTCCCAATACTCTCAATTCAAATTTTTTCCTACAAATCAATTTTTACACTTTTTTATTACACATTTTTCAATAAAAAGTCAAAAAGTTAACCCAAATATCCATATTTTCAACCTTAATTTTTTAGTCTAAAAAGACAAAAAGTGCACTTATTTAGTCTTCCCAAACTTGGCCTTATTATATAATAATCATCGAAAAATATTTGTTAACAACAAATATAACTATCTATTATATGATAATCATTTAAAAACATTGACAAGAACAACCATGCATACTAAAAATTAATTTGGTAAAAAAATAAAATAAAAATATAAAAGATTTATCATTATTATATAATTTTATCTTTAGTGGATAGAAATAATTGTTAAAAATTTAAAAATAATTTTTTGACATTTATTTTTATCAAACTAATTTATATTTTATCAAACTGACAATTTTGTCCTTGAAATGGAGCAACAACATCTTCAATTGTCCTTACTTTGAATAAGATTCAAATTTTATGATCAAATATATCACAATTAAAAAGTCATGGATCAAAATAATACAAGTCCTAAAATATAATGATCGTTAATGTAATTCGTCCAAAATAATAAAAAATATTTAAAATACTTTTAAAAATATATAACTCACAAATGTAATAAATACAGCGCACATTAAAAAAAATATTTAGAATAAAAAGTATTTACCCTAAAAAAAATAAAATTAAGAAATTTTTTAAATATTTAAAAAAAAATAAACCCAAAATAATTTCAAAATACAACTCATAACTTTTTTTCAAAATTTATAACTAATCAAATTTTCTCTTTTCAAAAACTTTATCATCAAAACACAAACAAGATGCTCAAAACATGATTCTAAAACTAAATCAAATAGATATTGTGTAAAAAAAATAAAAATTAAAATAATAATTTCAAACATACTAATTTTTTTCACCTTATATTTTAATTAAAAAAGTCAAACAAAATACTAAAATAGTTTATTCTTAAACTAACATTTAATTAAACACAAATGCTAATTTGTTGTTTTGTGAAATTTATAATTTATGGTTTTAATTTATTAAAAAATTAAATGTGTTTATATTTAATTTTAATATATATATATATATCAAATAAAAAAGTGATCATAAAAATTGAGATTGTCGATAGTTGAAAATGATGATGGGAGGTCATAGCCAGCCGTCAAGGACAAAAATGTTGTTGACAATCAAAAATAGTGGTTGAGTGATCGTTTCAAATAGTGGTCATGGTTGAGTGATCGTTTCAAATAGTGGTCATGGGTATTTTTAACAAAAGGTAGGTACCATGGGTGGAAGGTGATTATTGGCGATGGTAATAATACTAGTAATGATAAACAACGAGTGGTGGTGAGAAGATGCAGAAGAAAAGGGAAAGAAATGAAAAACTAAATAATTAATTAATTAAAAAAAAGTGAACCTAATTTTTTTGTGATCATAAAGATTTTAATAAATTTTATCAACTATATAAATTTTTTTGAAAAGAAAAATAAATATCAAATGAGTTTTTGCATACAATTTTTAAAACATTTT